GCTGGGATTACAGGCGTGAGCCACTTTGCCTGGCGATGTTGGTATCTTTTTTTTTAGCAGCATGTGTCCATTTCATATCTCTGTATCAGTATTTTTTAGCATTGAAGTGTTTTTAAATAAAGGTATGTACTGGGCCGGGCACGGTGGCTCACGCCTGTAATCCCAGCACTTTGGGAGGCCAAGGTGGGTGGATCACGAGGTCAGGAGATCAAGACCATCCTGGCTAACAGGTGAAACCCTGTCTCTACTAAAAATACAACAAATTAGCCAGGTGTGGTGACGGGCGTCTGTAGTCCCAGCTGCTTGGGAGGCTGAGGCAGGAGAGTGGCGTGAACCCGGGAGGCAGAACTAGCAGTGAACTGAGACCACACCACTGCACTCCAACCTGGGTGACAGAGTGAGACTCCGTCTCAAAAAAAAAAAAAAGGTATGTACTTGTTTTCAGACATAATGCTGTTGCACACTTAATAGACTACAATATAGTGTAAACATAACTTTTATATGCACTGGGAAACCAAAAAATTTGTGACTCCTTCTATTGTAATATTTGCTTTATCGCGGTGGTCTGGAACCAAACCCGAAATATCTCCAAGATATGCCTGTATTTTGAAGAGAAGTGAGTTACTTTTTATTTATCATCTAAATTCTAGAGGGCATAGCTTGTAGGAATTGTCAAATTAGGTATTTTTGTAGTCCTAATACACTGCAATTTGTGCTGTCCCTTTTTTCCTTCAGAAAGCTCAAAACAAGCAATTAATAGTGGAAAAATAAAACAAATCTTGTTCTCCATTTCTTTAAAGCAGTGCACTTGTTAAACCTTTTTATACCTAGGAAGCCTCCTTTGAGAAGGCTCTAAAAGGAGTGGGCGTAGATTCTGGGATAACTGTGTATACAAGTAGATTTGAACTGCAGAGATTTTGTTTACTTCTGTGAACCAAGATAACTTTATATGCATCTTATTAGCTTAGGCACCCCAGTCAGGTAGATAGATTCAAGCTCTCCTGCTGTATTTGTATAAAGTTAATTAAAAAAGGAATAAGTTGAAATCTGAGATTCTGTTAATGGTGGATAAATTTTTTTGTTAGGACCAAAATGTCTTTGACTCCAAGAAGAAAGTGAAATTAACCAATGCAGAAGGAGTAGAGTTTAAACTTTCCAAGAAACAACTACAAGCTATAGAATTTAACAAAGCTTTACTTGCTATGTACACAAACCAGGTGGGTAATTACCTTTGGTGTCATGGCTAAACCTTTTGTAATATGGTGTATGAGGAGTAATAGGGATATTAGTCTAATCTGTTTATAGTTTTTGTTTGTATTTTGTCATCGACTCATAAATATATTTTTTTCCTTCCTCAAAATATTATATGTATTATTGGCCGGGCACAATGGCTCACGCCTGTAATCCTAGCACTTTGGGAGGCTGAAGTGGGCGGATTGCTTGAGCTCAAGAGTTCAAGAACAGCCTAAGCAACATGGCGAAACCCTGTCTCTACATGGTGGTGCATGCCTGTAGTCCCAGCTACTCTGGAGCCTGAGGCACAAGAATTGTTTACAGCGAGCTGAGATTGTGCCATTTCACTCCAGCCTGGGCGACAGAGAGAGACTGTCTCTAATAAAAAGAAAGAATGTTATATGTCATAGATTTTATTTATTAAGCAAGTAATTTGCCCAATTTCTTATAAGGGTGTGTAGGGTTGACACCTTTTAAGGGGAAGAAAACAGTATTCACACCTTTAAATGAGATAACTTTCTCATTACCTTATTTCTAATCTGAATTAAGATAAAATCATCAAAGATGCTGGCCATGATTATAGATTTAAGACCCATCTTTCATATTTGCTGTGTATAATCACATCAAGTTATAAATGTTAAGGAGGTCAAGTCTAACTCCAGTAAGCATTCTAATTCTAATTTTATACTCTTTTAGAGCAGAAGTTTTAGTGGGAGAGAGAGGGGCAGTAATTTTTTTTTTGTTTTTTGTTTTTTTTTTTTTGTGTGGAGACTGAGTTTCGCTCTGTTGCCCAGGCTGGAGGGCAGTGGCACAATCTCGGTTCATTGCAAGCTCCGCCTCCTGGGAGCACGCCATTCTCCTGCCTCAGCCTCCCTAGTAGCTGGGACTACAGGTGCCCATGACCACGTCCAGCTAATTTTCTTGTATTTTTAGTAGAGACAGGGTTTCACCATGTTAGCCAGGATGGTCTTGGTATCCTGACCTCGTGATCTGCCTGCCTCAGCCTCCCAAAGTCCTGGGATTATAGGTGTGAGCCACCGTGCCCAGCCGAGACGCAGTAGTGTTTCTATTATTTAGAACTGAGTCAAGTTATTCTTAATAATTTAACAAACAATACATATGCATTTTGTTTTTGAAGCAAATGCTTATACTTGATGTGTTTGATTTTTTTAAACAGTTCTAGAATTTAGGCATCCAAGTGAATGTTTAGAATTTCTCCTTTACTAAAGGCTTTTAGAGTTCATAGATTAAATTCAATAAATAGAAATCATTTTCTTACAAGAAAAAATTGAGAATAGATACTGTAAACTGATTCTCTTATCCTAGGCAGTTCTTTGGTTAATATTTGTTTCAACTAATTTTCCCATGTTTCTTTTCTTTCTGGTCATTTAGTGTTTAATTTCATTAACCAGTTTATTTTTGTTGTGGGGGTTGGGTATCTTCTAGGCTGAACAATGCCGCAAAATATCTGCCAGTTTACAGTCCCAGAGTCCAGAGCATCTCTTACCTGTGTTAATCCAAGCTGCCCAGCTCTGCCGTGAAAAGCAGCACACAAAAGCAATAGAGCTGCTTCAGGTAAAATAATTACTTGAATGAGGTGTCAGGCATTTGCAGCCTTGTTTCATTTTCATTGTGTTGTAATAACCTACAAGCATGTAAAGTTAATGGGAAAACTAATCAGAAATGTACCACTACACAAATTTCAGTGCCATTTTAGTCAACAGCTTTGTTTTATATAAATTTCTATAATGTAAATATTTGTTATAAATGCTAAAGAATGCTGTTTTGTTTGGAGATCTATTTAACCTGAGTTAGGGGATTGTTTCAGGCAATAACCTGAGTTAGAGGATTGTTTAGGCATGTATAATTCTAGAACATGCTTAACCTCTTTTGCAATTATCTGATCTCCACTGAGTTCCACTCCAGAACCTCAATTATGGAGATACTGACTTTGTTTTTATCAGCCCAAACCAGCTATTATATTGCATATTTAAATTTCTTGAATATAAACTACATTGGAAAGTTGGACAGGTACAATTAGGATCATCCGGACAGACACAATTGCCTAGCAGGCACACTCAGTGAAGAGATACCACCCCTTCTCTCCCCCCAGCAAAAAAAAAAAATCTATTTAGTAATCTTTATTACAGTTGACACTTTGTATCCTTGAGTTTTGCATCCAAGAATTCAACCGGCCATGGATTAAAAACTTTGTGGGGGTCGCCTGGCGTAGTGGCTCACGTCTGTAATCCCACCACTTTGGGAGGCCCAGTCAGGCGATCGTCTGAGGTCAGGAGTTCAAGACCAGCCTTGCCAACATGGTGAAACCCCATCTCTACTAAAAATACAAAAAATTAGCTGGGCATGGTGGCACATTCCTGTAATCCCAGCTACTTGGGAGGCTGAGGCAGGAGAATCACTTGAACCTGGCAGGCGGAGGTTGCAGTGAGCCGAGATCACGCCACTACACTCCAACCTGGGTGACAGAGCAAGATTCCGCCTCAGAAAAATAAAAAAGCACATTTTGGGGTTGGAAATGTATGATTGCCTCTGTACTCAACATATACAAACTTTAAAAATCATTATTCCCTAGATAATATAACAACTATATACATAGTATTTGCATTATATTAGGTATTATAAGTAATCTAACAATGATTTAAAATGTATAGGAGTACGTGTGTAGATTATACTCAAATACTGTACTTTTATATAAGGGACTTGAGCATCCTTGGGTTTTGGAATGCGGGATGGTTCTGGAAGCAATACCCCGTGGCCGAGGGATGATGGATTTCTCTGTTAGTGACTTACAGAAAACTTGACATTATTACACGTACTTTTAGAGCATACCTTTAAGAAAAAAAGTGGGCGTTGAATAAAAATTTTCCCAAGTTAAGATTTTGACCAGCAGCCAGAAGTTTAATATTTTAAAACTGAATTTAAAATCTTACGTAGCTGAGTTAAATAACTGTAATGTATACAATTAGATGTGTAAATTAAATGTGATTTTTTTTTCCCAAACTAAAAAAATTTAGGAATTTTCAGATCAGCATCCAGAAAATGCGGCTGAAATTAAGCTGACCATGGCACAGTTGAAAATTTCTCAAGGTATTATGGTTTTCATCGTGGTTAAAATATTTTAATGAAAACATGGTTGAAATGATTCTACAGTTGTGAACTATGTGATTTTAAGTTTTTTGTGTAATGGTAAAGCATAATAATTACATGCAGCTAGATTGTATGATCTCCAACAGATTTAGTAGTGAGGTAATTGCCCCTTTTCACAGATTATTCCTAAATTATTAGAATGATTCTCAATCTGTGCCTTGAAAGTTCTGAAACAAAGAATTCCTCTGTTCCAAAAGACCATACATACTACTCAAATTGCCTGAGTATGTCACATGCAGAAATGCTTATGTCTGTCACTTGGTAATATTTGTATGACTACTTTGCATCATAGTTTTCAGAATTTCTTAGCTTGGCCCTTCATTCTTACTTTGTTTTACACTTTGCCACCTATGTCTTTGGGCTTGGGGAAAGGTAATAGAATTTAACAAGAACTGATGTGTTTGAATCTTAAAACTGCCAGTGTTTTTGTCTGTGGTTTTGATCTAACTTTGAATATCTAGAGCTGTGTTGCCCAGTTTGGTAGTCACTAGCCACATGTAGCTATTTTAAGTTTAAATTAGTTAAATTAAATTTAAAATTCAGTTCTTTGATTATGCTAGCCACATCTTAGAAGTTTAGTAGCGATGTGCAACTAGTGGCTGCAATATTGGACAGCACAGATATAGGACATTTACATCATCACAAAAGGTTCTGTCAAACAGCTCTGGTATAGAGTGTGGATTTTTGATGGGGGTGACAATTCGTCACAAAAATCTTAAATATTACAATGGCTGAAATGAAAATTTTATGAGTTGAAGGAGAGGAGTTGGCAGTTAGGGAAAAAATGTTTAAAATGTCCTTAGTAGGGCAATAATGAAAACAAGGTTGAGACACACTGCAGATCTCCCTCTTATCCAGTTCTCACATTTCTTTACTTTCCTTGTCTCTTTTTCCTTATTCTTAGCCCTGTCTTCTCTTCTTTGCCCTTTCCTCGATCTTTCCTTCTCGTATGTTTAGTTTATTTTTTCAAGGATGATTTATTATCTTGAAATTCCTGACAGTCTGTCATGGTTTTTTGTTTCTATTTAAAGACTAGAAATTTTGAGTTATTGAGGTTTGCAGTGAGTACAAAATCAGAATTTAACACCGTAGGAAATTTTCCATTACACTCATATCTACAGTAACATATTTCAAGGCCTTTAGGGAAGGACCCCACTTTCAAGTTACAGCCCAAAAAAGAAGAAATAGAACTCAACAGACTGGGAGTTAAGAGACTTTTCTGGTAGCAGCTCTGCCATTAACTTTCTTTGTGAACTTAAGCAAGGTATATTATTTCTTTAGAGCTCAATTTCCTTGCCTCTAAATGAATAGAGTTCACCATCCCCAGGCCCAAAACTTACATGTTTAGAGATGTTACAAAATATGACTTATGGTTGCTTTCCTAAGGAAAAGTAGTGGGAGGAAATAAAATTTCTTGTATTTTTTTTCATAATATGTGTTTTTCTATGTAATGCTGATTTTGTTTATTCTCCTAAGGTAATATTTCTAAAGCATGTCTAATATTAAGAAGCATAGAGGAGTTAAAGCATAAACCAGGCATGGTGAGTTTAAAACATTACAAAATTGAAAAGTAGTTGAATTGATAATTTATTTATATGTCTAATGTGTATTCACTTTATTTTTATGTGTAATGTGTGTTCACTTTAAGGTAGGAGTAGTAATTATAATAGTAATGATTGTCTGGTGTAAATTTAATTTCATTCTCTGCTCTGGTATTGGTTTCTTATTCAGTTAAATGTGCCAGGCACTATTTAGGCCTTACAGTATCACTGAAAGCCAACCTCAAATAATCTCAGATCTGTATAGGGAATTTCTTAGCCTAAACCATTTTCATCGGTGTGATTTCTTTAAATTAGAACAATTTTGTAATAGTGACCAACAAATTTAGTTTTTAGTTTTCTGATTATTCAAATATTGCAGGTTTCAATCATTAATATAGCTGTGAAAGCATCTTTTCCATAGTATTAACTAATTCCGTAGTGCATCTTTTGGACAGGGGCTGTTTTATTCATGTTTGCATTCTCTAACATGGCCTCTGTGCAGTTGGCACTCAGTAAATGTAAAAATATGGTAGTGCTTTCCCTTGAAGATTCATATTTTAAGGATTGTGCTATAATTACTTTACCTTAAAGTCAAATACAGTATATGACTGAAATTAAAATGTTTCTGATATTTGATATGTGGCCTTATTTTACCTTTCAAGGAATGTATCCATTTCATTTAAGTTGCTGACTTTATTGGCATAAAAGTTCTTCATTGTATTTCTTTATTATCCTTTTAATATCTATAGAACCTCTCCCATTCCTGATACTGGTTATTCATGTCTTTTTTTCTTTTTCCCTCTGATTAGCCTGACCAGAGATTTGTCAGTTTTACTGATTGTTCTTAAAGATCCAGCTGTTTGTTTCCTTTCTATCCTCATCTCCTACTGCTCATCATCCCCCTCCCCCTCCACTCCAGCTGTGTAGGCCTCCTTCCTGTCCCTAAGCGACACTAGGCACTCTTTTGACTGGCTTGAAGCAGCTCATGCCACGTGGGATTCATCATGAGAGTTCAGCCACTCTATGTATGCCTCACTGATCGTACACTTAAATGTCCAGCAGTGTCTTATTGTATAAACATTTCTAAGGGCTTATTCTCAACCTCTGTAGTTACCAAACCATTTGTGAACTGGCACTGCTTTAAAGGAAAGGTTTATTTTACAGATGACTACCTTCATATTTGGAAAACACGGTTGTTCATGGTATTTCTAGAAGTAAAGTTACTATGTTCTCTAAAGGGAGTAGCTTTCATGATAAATCAGGTACTAACTGAGAGCCTTTATTCGCTATTTTTTCAGTGTTTTTTATTTTCAAAAATGGTATTCTGGGAGTGAAGGGAGGATTCACTAATTTATACCTTTGGCTGTGTAGGTGTCTGCATTAGTTACCATGTACAGCCATGAAGAAGATATTGATAGTGCCATTGAGGTCTTCGCACTAGCTATCCAGTGGTATCAAAACCATCAGGTAAACAAATGGAGTAAAATGTTATGAGGGCATGTTTTTACATAAAAATAAAGAGGTAGTAGTGAAAAAATTCAGGCAAACTGAAGTATTACACGTCACTATTTTAAAAGTGAAATACTATTTAGATTATCAAATTCATTTTTTTCAGTATACCAGATCCCAATTAAGTTATTAGAAATAAGCAATGGCTGCAAAATAGAAAAATAGCTCATTTATATTTATTCAAGCTCCTTGCTGTATGTGTACATGTATTTGTTTATGTAATCTCAAGAAATAATAATAGTACATGATTGCATATTTAAGAGATCATCTTTAATAGCTAGAGAACCCATGGGTGGTAGCAATTAGTACAACAGTAATACATGGAATAGTTGTTTATCATGTCTCTAGTAGGAATATCATTATTTCCAGTATGGATCTCTGCATAAGCAGTATCCAACTTAAAATTATACATAACGCTGTGCAGGTCGCATTTTCTACTGTTAGTACTGTTAGCTGTGGAAGGGTATCAGTGCTCTGGGAAAGTATTAAATTAATGTTTGAGAACTATGGTGGCATATCTTTAAGATTTGATTATTATAGGAGAATGTTTCCAGTTGTAGACACCAAATAGATATAGGTTGTTTTCCAAATTTATCTGTTGGTGATTGTACAGTTAATAATTTGTTCACCTGCTTTCCTCTACATATGTGGATGATTTTGTTGTTTCAGGCATTCAGTGAAACTTAAGATGAGGGATCTAATGCATCGGTGTATTTCTTAAAGGTCTAATGAATATAACTGCATTTACTTGCTAGATATTTAGCTTGAAACTTTTTTTTTTTCGTTTTATTGAAACTGTAGCCTAAATCTCCTGCTCATTTGTCCTTGATAAGAGAAGCTGCAAACTTCAAACTCAAATATGGGCGGAAGAAGGAGGCAATTAGTGACCTACAACAGCTATGGAAGTAAGCTCTGAAACACGGAGTTGTAGAAATAACACATTTATTGCTGCTACTTGATATGAGAGAGTTACTTGTTTATATTACTTTCTCCAGTTTTATAAACAGTTCAGTAATTTTCTTATTTCTTCTTTTAGACAAAATCCGAAAGATATTCACACCCTGGCACAGCTAATTTCTGCTTACTCACTTGTAGATCCAGAGAAAGCCAAAGCGTATCCTTTTGATTGTTGTTCCTTACAGCTCCTCAGTAGCACAATAGATCTCTTCTAATATCTGTGTTTTGACTGGAGCTTTTTCCATTGTAAATTGCAACTAACAAATCCTCCTTTTAACTAGTAAAACCAAAAAATGACAATTTGTTGATCAGTGTGATGAAAAATGCGGCAATAGATCCAACTTAGGGTTCAGTTTCATCCAGAAGCAAAAATGAAGTCAAAGAGGTATAGCGTCTTTTCCTCCAGGTTCAAGTTCAGCAGCAAGGAAAAGAAAAAGCGTATTTTATGTGGGTAGTTTTGCATGATTCTGAAATCTTATTTTCGGATTCAACTACTTAGGTCACTTGCTTATCTCAAGTAGTTACTTGATATGCAAATTCGATGCCCTTATTGAGCTTGGATCATATGTGCTACTCTCATCAGAGTGTGTTCCTAAAACTGAGGTGGGTTGGTGGATGCTAAGCAGTCTCAAGATATAAACTTGATAGTTGTTTTGGGATGGAGTTTGTATTAAGCCACCACCTTGCTCCACATCACTGAGTTAAGGAATAGAGGATTAGATTATGACTCCTCATGTTCTCCTTTCAGAATACTGTGTGTACTATATAATTGATACGACTTGTAATTGTTATTGTATAGAAGATTTAGGAACATTTTTTGCTTTTGTTGAAGGTCATCAAGAAAAGACAGTCTTCCAGTGTCAATAGATATATTGGCAAACGTATATATATAAATGTGTGTGTTTGTGTATATTATGTTCCTGAACTCCTGTTCTATCACAGTCTTAGTAAACACTTGCCATCGTCAGATAGTATGTCTCTAAAAGTAGATGTTGAGGCTCTTGAAAATTCTCCTGGTGCTACGTACATTCGGAAGAAGGGTGGAAAAGTTACTGGAGATAGTCAACCAAAGGAGCAAGGGTAATATTTTTCGTTGTAACATTCTCTAATGCTGATTTTAAATTAGACAAAGAATAAAAAATATATTCTTATAGAAATTTTGTATGAATAAAGTTCTAGTTCTCTTCGTTTCTTTTCCATTTCTTTCACTGTGCCCAACTCTTTGTCCTTATTTCCTTCCCTTTTCCCTCAGCCCAAAATTAACCTCTGGTATTAATTTAATCTATTATTCCAGAAATTTTTCTTTGTGTTTACACACACAGGTGGTTTACGAATATTTGCTTTAGATTAGTTTATTTTTTGTTATTTAGTTTCTTATTTGTTTGTTTGTTTGTTTGTTTGTTGAGACAGAGTCTTGCTGTCTCCCAGGCTGGAGTACAGTGGCACAATCTTGGCTCGCTGCAGCCTCTGCCTCCCAGGTTCAAGCAATTCTGCCTCAGCCTCCTGAGTAGCTGGGACTACAGGCTAATTTTTGTATATTTAGTAGAGACAGGGTTTTACCCTGTTGGCCAGGTTGGTCTTGAACTCCTCACCTCAAGTGTTCCACCCACCTCGGCCTCCCAAAGTGCTGAGCACTATAGCCAGTTGTTTTTTATAGAAGGAAAATTGTACTGTACTTAGTGTTTTCCAACTTGCTTTTATTTAATGAGTTTTAGAGATCTTTCCACATACTAAAATGTGGACATATTTCATCCTTTTTAAACACTCCATAGGCTGGATGTGCCTTTTTTTACCTATAAGTTATTGTTGTATATTTAGTACATCATTTAGTATATGATTTATTTTGCTGATTTGAAGAAAAGGTTAGTCGGTTTCATTTACTTACAAGAAGTCAGATTTTGACTCTTGTTTGTTCCATTGTCATCTTAAAAATATAGAGACCTACAGTAAAATGTTTTAAGATTTTACTTTTGACTCAGAATGAATAGAGCATGGAAAAGATAAAACATTTCCTTAGCTTTGTGACTTTCCTAAGTTTTTATTACTTTCTCCTTTTTTGAATGCCTTTTGAAATCTAAATTTTTCCCTAACTTAAAAAAAACTCAGCAACAGTGACTGATTTCTTCCTAACAAACTCTGCATTTCATAAAAAGCATTGTCGTTCTCATAATAACTTCCAAAACTTTTAATAAGGAATTGGAGTCTCAAAGAGGTTACATTGTTCCAAATTCCATTTCATCTTACAAGTATAAATTCAGTTGGAGTTCTTAAATGGATTTTCAATTAAGTATGTTTACTATTTTTTTTTTTCTTCACCAAACAGGGTTGGGTAACAACTAAGAACACACAGTTCCTTCTTTAGCCTGGCATAGTGGCATTTGACTCTAGTTCCCATTACTAGGAGGCTGAGGTGGGATGATCGCCTGAGCCCAGGAGTTTGAGGCTCCAGTGAGCAGTGATTGCGTCACTGCACCCCAGCCTGAGTGACAGAGAAAGACCCCCATCTTTAAAAGTTTTTTTTTAATAATCTTTCTTTTTGTTGTTGTTGTTGTTTGTTTGTTTGTTTTCTTTTTTGAGACAGTCTTGCCCAGGCTGGAGTGCAATGGTACGATCTCAGCTCACTGCAACCTCTGCCTCCTGGGTTCAAGCGATTCTCCTGCCTCAGCCTCCTGAGTAGCTGGGATTACAGGCACCCGCCACCACGCCTGGCTAATTTTTGTATTTTTAGTAGAGACAGGGTTTCACCATGTCGGTCAGGCTGGTCTTGAACTCCTGACCTCAGGTGATCCACCCGCCTCAGCCTCCCAAAGTGCTGGGATTACAGGCGTGAGCCACCGCACCTGACTTCTTTCTCTTTTTTCTTAGACAATCATTAAGATATACATTGAATTTTTAAGCTTTTAAGTTTAAAAATAGTATTTTCATTAGGCATTATTAGTGCTCTTTATCTTACTAAAAGTTAGTATTTTGTTATACTAACTTTTGGATGTAAAGGTTTAGTTTCTTTTAACAATACAATATGTGATAGGTTTACGCTAGGTGTTGACCAGAAAATAAATCATGGTACTTGCTCTCAAAAGAACTTGAGCCCTGACGTGGTGGCTCATGCCTGTAATCCCAGCACTTTGGGAGGCCAAGGCAGGTGGATTACTTGAGGTCAGGAGTTCGAAACCAGCCTGGACAACATGGTGAAACCCCATCTCTACTAAAAATACAAAAATTAGCCAGGCGTAGTGACACATGCCTGTACTCCCAGCTGCTTGGGAGGCTGAGGCAGGAGAATCACTTGAACCCAGGAGGTGGAGGTTGCAGTGAGCCAAGATCGCACCACTGCACTCAGCCTGGGTGACAGAGTGAGACTCCGTCTTAAAAAAAAAAAAAGGAACATGAGTCTAGCAGAAGGAAATATATTTAAACAATAATTGCAATAAAGATTGCACCTGCTGTGATTGTACAGGGCATAGAGGAGTACACCGGAGGGAATAGTCACTTCTTCCTGAGGACAGTGGGAAGTTAGGAAAGGCGTCATGGAGAAGATGATTGTGTTGACTCTGAGGAAGATGAGGACGAGGTAGGCAAAGGGTGAGCTAAGGCAGAGAAATAAGAAAGAGCAGAGAACCGTTGGGAAATTTTAGTATGGCTGTGGAGTATAATTTGTAGGGAGACAATTTAGAATACTATTGCACACTCTGGGTAAGAGATGAAACACTCAAGTAAGATAACAGTATGTTACATTTCTTGTTTGGGGTATCCTGAGGGAACTTTCACAATTGAATGACTTGTAGAATGAATTGTTGCTGTCTCATCTTTAGTTCACTGTTTCATATTTCTTGAGTTATATCACATAAGAATATATAGAGAGATGTATTTTTATGTTTTTCTCTGTTCACTAGAGCTTTCAGAATGCTTTTTTTTGAGATAAGAGTCTTGCTCCGTCACCCAGGCTGGAGTGCAGTGGTGCAGTCTCGCTCACTACAACCTCTGCCTCCTTGGTTCAAGTAATTCTCCTGCCTCAGCCTCCCGAGTAGCTGAGATTACAGGCACGCACTGCCACATCCAGCTAATTTTTGTATTTTTAGTAGAGACAGGGAACTCCTGACGTCAGGTGATACCTGCCTTGGCCTCCCAAAGTGCTGGGATTACAGATGTGAGCCACTGTTCCCAGCCACTTTCAGAATGCTTGACAATTATTATTATTATTATTATTTTTTATTATACTTTTAAGTTCTAGGGTATGTGTGCACAACATGCAGGTTTGTTACATATGTATACATGAGCCATGTTGGTGTGCTGCACCCATTAACTCGTCGTTTACATTAGGTATATCTCCTAATGCTATCCCTCCCCCCGCCCTTGACAGTTATTTTGAAGTGTTAATTTGTATGCCCTTTTTAGTGCCTTTTTTGGTCAATGTACTTAATACATATTTTACTTACATTAAAAAATTAATAAACTCACAGGTTTAAAATATGAAAGATAAAAAAGTGTAAGAGTAAGTTAAAAGTCTTCCATCCGTGTCTACCCACCTCCCTCCCAGGGCCATAACCAATGTAACCTGTTTTGCATCTCCTTCCAGAGATAATTCTTTGCATGTATCTGACCTACACGTGTTCTTCTGGCAAAAAATTTATTCTCTAAAGTCTTGCCAAACATAGAGTAACTTACCAAGGGATTGTAGATATTCATGCTTGTGCAAATTACTTTTTACATAGACTTAATGTGTGCCACTGAAAAAAATTTTTCAATGTAAACAATCTGTTTTCGAATTGTCACCTCTGTTTTCTAAAGTACCTTCCAAAAATTATAGTATCTGAAGCTTAATGGACTTTAACCTGAATCAAATCTTAACTAGTTTGTTAGCTTTGGTGAGCTGATACCAAGTCTTAAACCATGTTTATGATAAGTGCCCAACTAACTCTTACAGAGCACTTACTTAATGCTTTATAAATATTTTATCACAAAGATGGTAATGATTTTTTTTTCTCTTTGTAGACAGGGAGATTTGAAAAAGAAGAAAAAGAAGAAGAAGGGTAAGGCATTGAAAAATCTTTATAAATTTTCTACAAGATAAATGTTTGATTTTAGCCCCATATAGAAATATTTGGACATAAATATACTGCCCTCTCTTGTATCTTTGAAAACTTTTTATCTTGACTATAGCTAACATTTAATTTTATTCTATTACTTTAAAGATTGCAATTTACTAGTTTGCCTAGATTCAAATTGTTGTTCCCTCTTTTACTCTGTGACTGTGGACAGGCTATTTAATATACCTGCCAGAGTTTTTCATATGTGGAATGGAATATGATAGTATGTATCTTGTAGTATTAAATCAGATACTACATGTAAAGTTCTTAGAGTGGTGCCTGGCACAAAAGTAAGCCCTTACACATTATGATGTTTCTGCTACACATAACTACAAAATTCCATCAAACTAGCTTAAGAAAATTTACTGTTTATAAAGTTGGCAGTCTAGAGGAATGTTAGCATCAAGGTTGGTTGACTCAGTATTTCTATCTCTTTGTTCTGCTGTCCACAAAACAGAATCCCATTAGAGTCATACAATGTATACTGGAAACAGTCAGGGCCACATACTTGTCATTTATATTCATCACAACAAAGAAGCCCTTTCCAGATTTGGCAAGTATTTCTCATTAATCTGATTTGGCCAAGTAGGTCAGTGTCCAGCCTTGAATTATTAACCAGGGAAATAACGTGCATTGATTGGCTTGGGGTGTGGCTTTAATCTCTGGAAAACTTGGATGACATTACTGTGCTTTGTTTTACCTGGTCAGATGTTATCCTTGGAGCCACCCAAGTTCCTGAGGTTTTGAGGAATCTATTATATAAATCAGGTTATTTCTTGATTTTGCTCTCTGCCATCTTAGGATACGGGTTTCCCAAGACTTAGCTAAGTTTATTATTACTCCTCCATCTGTTTTCCAGCTACCAAAATTTTATTGACAATATCTTTTCTTCTGTTCTTCCTTTAATGTGTTTTATTACCATTTTAGTGGCGTTTGAGGAAGGTACACAAGCTAATGTTTGTATCCATTTCACTGTCTTTAACTAGAAGTCTTGTTGGTTTGTCACAGTACTTGAAAATTGGCAAACATTTAATATTTGTTTTGTGTATTAGTAATACTGCAAGGAAACAGCTGATAGCTGTAGGTGGTAATAACCTAAAATTTTACTTTGTTTTCTATTTTTGTAGTTTCCAGATGAATATTTTTTAAAATTTACAAGTGACATATGCTTATTCTAAAAACAAAGGTAGTTGATACCTATCATTATAGAATGGCATAAAGAGTGTAAAATTCCCTGCCCAGAATTCATGCTTGTGGCTGGGCATGGTGGCTCACACCTGTAATCCCAGCACTTTGGGAGGCCGAGGCAGGTGGATCGTTTGAGGTCAGGAGTTCCAGACCAGCCTGGCCAACATGGTGAAACCCCATCTCTACTAAAAATACAAACATTAGCTGAGCATTACTCATGCGTGCCTGTAATCCCAGCTACTCAGGAGGCAGAGGTAGGAGAATTGCCTGAACATGGGAGGCCGAGGTTGCAATGAGTCGAGATCACGCCACTGCACTCCATCCTGGCAACAGAGTGAGACCCTGTCCCCATCTCCCAAAAAAAACATGCTCCCAAAGACAATTAACATTTTTGTGTGTGTATATATGTATATATAGAATCAAACATATATCATTAGGTACTGAAAGTTGAACATAATATAATTTGTTTTAATCTTCACTTTAGACTGAATTGTGAAGAACATTTTTCCAGATTAATAGATGCACTTCACTTTATTTATTTATTTATTTTGAGACAGCTTCTTGCTCTGTCGCCCAGGCGATCTCAGCTCACTGCAAGCTCCACCTCCCAGGTTCACGCCATTCTCCTGCGTCAGCCTCCCGAGTAGCTGAGACTTCAGGCGCCCGCCTCCACGCCCAGCTAATTTTTTGTATTTTTAGTAGAGGCGGGGTTTCACTGTGTTAGCCAGGATGGTCTCGATCTCCTGACCTCGTGATCTGCCCGCCTTGGCCTCCCAAAGT